TGTAGAGATGAGGTCTCACTGCCCAGGCGGGTCTCGAACCCGCAGGCTCAGGCAATCCACTCACCTCAGCCTCCCAAAGGCGTGGGATGATAGGCTGAGCCACCGAGCCCGGCCTTTTTAAACTTTTATTTTGAAATAATTGTAGATTCACAGGAAGTTACAGAAGTAGTATAAAGAGGACCCAGGTAGTCTTCACCTAATTTTCCCCTTTAATTACATCTTAAAGTACAATATCAGAAGCAGGTATTTGCTCTTGGTGCAATGTGTTTGTGTAGTTCTGTGTATTTTATCAAGTGTGCAGATTTGTGAGACCACTACTGTAATCAAAGAGCTATCATCACAAAGATCTCCCTTATGCTACCTCTTAACGATCACACTTCTGTTCCTTCCTCTAACATCCCTAACCTTAGCAACCACTAATCTGTTTTCCATCTGTGTAATTCTGGCATTCTGAAATAAATGTAGATTCATAGGAGGTTGATGAGAGGATTATTAATTATATTGATAATTCTGAAAGAACCAGCTTTTGTTTTTATTGCTTTTGTTTTCTCTATTGCTTTTATGTTTTCAATTTCACTGATTTCTGCTCTGATTTTTATATCCTCCTTTCTTCTGTTTACTTTGGATTAATTTATTGTTCCTTTTGTACTTTCTTAAAATTGCAGCTGAGGTCATTAATTTGAAACCTTTATTATTTCCTAATAGAGGCACTTAATACTATACATTTATCTGTAAGTACTACTTTAGGAGCATCTCACTTTAAAAAAATTAATTGTAGAGTCAGATGTAATTGTAAAAAATAATACATAGAAATTCTGTGTACTTTTTACCTAGTTTCTCCCAATGGTAATATGTTGCAAAACTATAGTACAATATCACAACCAGAATGTTGACATTAATACAGTCAAGATGCAGAACATTTCTATCTCATGTTGTCCTTTTATAGCCACACTTTCTTCCTTCTCTCCTGCCCCCCCCAACCCTGGACAACCACTAACCTGGTCTCCATTTTTTATAATTCTGTCATTTCAAGAATATTATGTAAATGTATGTAACCTCTTCAGATTGGTTTTTTTCATCCAGCATAATCATGTGAATATTCATCCAGATTGTTGCATTTATCAATAGTTAGTTTTTACTGTTTAGTAATACTCTATGGTATAGGTGTACCATAGTTTGTTTAATCATTCATTGATGGCTATCTAGGTTGTTTCAAGTTTTGAGCTGTTACAAATAAAGCTCCTATCTATAAACATTCATGTTTAGGTTTTTTGTGTATACCTAATTTTTAATTTATCTGGAATCAAAGGGATGTAATTGCTGAGCTAAATGGTAGTTGCATGCTTAAGTTTTTACTTGTGTATACTCAACTTCCAGATTATTCCCTTGAGGTTGGAGTCAGCTGAAGTCTTAGTTCTTTGAGTCTTAACTGGGTTATCAGGAATCTACCTTACACAGGTGTAGTTTAAGGATTAACTAGAAATTTAGGCCAAGTTTATAAGCAGGTTTTGGGGCTTTCTCCTTTCCAGGATTCCCAGGCTCACTTTCCAGTTTCTTATTTTGCTCCAGACTCTGTTCTTGTGGTTCTTCACGTTAGGAGGGCAAATTGTTGTCCTCCCCAAGTGTTTCCAACTAGGGTCTACCTTCAGTTCTAAAGCAATTAAAACAAGACAGTAGCCAGGCTCAGTGGCTCAGCCTGTAATCCCGCGCCTTTGGGAGGCTGAGGTGAGTGGATTGCCTGAGCCCGAGGGTTCGATACCCGCCTGGGCAGTGAAATCTCATCTCTACAATAAATCAAAAAATCAGCTGGGCATGGTAGCGCATGCCTGTAATTCCGGCTACTGGGAAGGCTAAGGCGGAAGGATCGCTGGAGCCAGCAGGTCAAGGCTGTGGTGGCCAGGAGCGGCCACTGCACTCCAGTCTGGGCAACAGAGTGAGACTCTAACTCAAACAAAACAAAACAAAACAAAACAGTTACCCAGTGCCTTTCCGTCTTTCCCCATGGTGTGGCTAGCTTTTCATATCTCTCCAAGGTTTTGAAGTAGAGGTTTTTAAATATTTTATCCAGGGTTATAGTTGTTATCTGTCAAGTGTTAGAATTTTATTTGAATAGTGGCATACCATTTTTACCTTGCTTTTTTTTTTCTTTTACTTGGTGTATACTGAAGATTTTTTTTCCTTTCAATGTATGCAATGATGCCTTGTTTTTATAGTTGTATAATTATCCACTGTATGGATATACTCTATTTAACAAGTCCCACTATTGATGGACACTTGGTTTGTTTCCATGTATTTGCTATTCAAATAATGCTGCATTATGCATCCTTGAGCATAAGGCATTTTGCATATGTGCAAGCATCTTTGGATTAATTCCTAGAAGTGGAGTTGTCAAATTTTTCTACATAGAGATTGCTTTGATTTATACTTTCAGCAACATTGTATAAGAGTGCCATTTTTTCCCCCACACACTCACCAATTCATTATTAATTTTTTTATCCATCTGCTTATTTTTACAAATGGCTTTTAGTTTTAATATGCATTTCTCTTATGAGTCTTAAGCATCTTTTAGTATGTCTAAAAGAATTTACATTGTTTCCAATGAACTTCCTGTATATGTCCTTAAACTATTTTTCTTCTGGGATTTTGAGCTTTTTTTATTTGTGGGTACCCTTCACATATTAAACATATTTGTTCTTTGTCATATGTTGGTATATTTTTTCTTAGTTGCCATTTGTTTTGACTTGGGTTAGTAGCTTTTTACCTTGCAGAAACCTTTCATTTTTATTTAGTCAAATATGTCAGTTTTCTTTTACAATAGGAGTTATGAGTCACATATAGAGAACCCCTTCCCCTGCTTTAAATTTTTTACCCATTTTTTAAGGATTTTTTGGTGTTATTTATTGTTTTTAATTTTTTTTAAATCAAACTCAGATTTATTTTGGGAGAAAGAATGTAGAACCCATGTAACCTTTTTTCTTTGTTTTGACAGATGGCTTTTTGTACTTTTTATTCTCTTACCATATGAAAATATTTAAAATGTTTGTTGTCAAACCTGCGGATATCATACCTCATGGTTTCTGTCTTTGGTGTCATACTTAGGCTTTCCCTAACCTCCAAATTATATAAATAACCCATTCATATATTTTATTTTATTTATTTTTGCTACTTAATTTTTTTGTTGCTTTCAGAATTTTTTATATTTAAATCTTTAGTAAACCTAAAAGATATTTTGGCATATGGTGAGCTGGAACCATATTTTTTTTCTATCTGGTTAACTAGCCAGCTATTCTACCATTTATTGAATCACTTCTTCATAAATTTCAAATACCATCTTTAATATTTTTTACTTTTTTTATTTTTAGAAATATTACTTCTCTTTTGTTCACTCAGTTCTTACATACATAGCGTACTATCAATTATTTGGGAAATAGTGAGGAAGAAAAAGTAGTCAAAAAGACTTTAGAAGATAGTAAAATGTATTATAAATCTAAAATATATTCTCTCTCATGTATTTTTTAAAGAGTGCTTTAAACTCACATTGTGGCTTTTTAAATGTATGCATTTATTTTTGGAAAATGAACATCTTTACCTTTAATAGTCTCATCTGTGAACATGGTAGGTCTTTGCATTTGTTAATGTTTTGTGTTTCTCAGGTGATTTTTTGGTTTTCTTTCCAAGAGTTCGAATAGTATATGCAGTAGTCCTCCCTCTTTTGAAAAAGATATGTTCCAGTGCCCCCAGTGGATGAAGCCATGAATAGCACCAATACATATACTCCACATTAATTTCTTTTTTCTTTTTCACAATTTCACTCATAGAAAAATTATTCTTATCATAGATGTTAACATCTCAACATATGATTTTTTTTCCTTATTAAGTCAAGAACTTTCACCTTTTCACTTAAAAGAAGCACTTTACAACTCCTCTTTGGCATATCTTAATTTCCAGTATTACCTTTCTTGCATTTGAGGGCTATTATTAAATAATAACAAACATTACTTGAACGTAAGCACTGTAGTGCTGCAACAGTCGATCTGATAACTGAGATGGCTACCAAGAGACTAACAAGCAGGTGGTGTACAGTGTGGATCTGCTGGGAAAAGGGATGATTCATGTCTCAGGACAGAGCAAAACAAGTGAGATTTTATCATGCTACACAGAATGATGTACAATTAAAAACGTATGAATTGTACATTTCTGGAATTTTCTATTAATTATTTTTGGACCATAGTTGACTTTAGGTTAAAAACTACAGGAAGTGAAACTGTGGATGAGGGATACTACTGCACAGTGTAATACTGTTGTAAAATATGATTATGTACTTTTAAAAAGACTAGAAAAATATAAATGAAGATATAAGTGCTTATTTCTGACTGTGAGAATGTGTTGGGTGATTCGATTATTTTTTTGATGCCTATTTTTTCAAAAATGTAATATTTGAACATGTATAACTTTGTTATAATAAGAAAATCACAATTCCAAAAAGCTACTTGTGAAATGTTTTAACTATAGTTATGTTTAGAATTCATTTAAATATTTTTAATGAAAAATAAATTTTGTTTATGTACATAAATACCACTTAAAAATAAAAATAACTCAAAGCTTTCTTTTTCGTAAATAAAAAGAGGCACAACTTTAGCTGTCCATTCTACTAAATCCAGTAAGCCTCATAACTTAGTATGTAATAAAGAGATATTCACTTGTACTTATTTAACCATAATCTCTTCACAGTGTAGATTTTCAGACAATGTGACTATTAAAGAAGAGAAAGAAAATATTTATGAAGTTTACAAAAGGTCTGTAACATAATTTTTAATTATATAACTTTAAAATAGTCACTCATTTAATTTGTATCTTGGGTGTGTTTTCATTTTCTGCTGCTGTGTATGCTTGGGTTACTATGCCATAAACCATACATGAGTATAATTTAGTTAATGTCTCAGATGTAAGGAATATTATAAGTTACCTTAAAGCTGTCACTAAGTTTTTTGAACTAGTAAATATTTTTTTAGAAAAGGAGTAGTGATAAAAAGAAAAAATGATGTGTGTTTGACTTTTATGAATACAAGTGTGACTGAAAACACATGAACAGTAGAGTTTGCAAGGATCTTACAGGGCTGTAATGATCAGTACTGAGAGTTACAGCACGCTTCCTAGGATATATAAAATCACCAAATTTAGACTTGGAGGACATGTAAGGGATCCGATTCATCCTCCATCCTCATTTTGTTGTTGAGGCAAGGCACACCCAGCTTAGGGGATGGATATGTTCAAGTCTTTTATATGTTAAGGCAGTGATTCTCGAAGTATAATCCTTGGAGCAGCAGCTTCATATGAGAACCTGTCAGAAATGGAAATTATTGGGTCCCAGTCAAAACCTACTGAATCAGAAACTGGGGATGGGCCCATCAATCTCTGTTCAACAAGGCCACCAGCTGATCTTGATGCATGCTCAAGTTTGAGAACCACTGTGTTAAGGGAAAGGCTAGGTAAGAAATGGATTAACATAAAGTCCAGTATGGTTCATGGCCATTGGAAGAGCCTAAAGAAAAAGGGAAAGTGACATGGTTAGCTTTTTTCTATTGAAATCATTTTGCTTACAAACTAAAATAGCATCATTGTAACCTTCAAAGGTTTATCATATACTTGACTGCCATAGTGATCAGCATTGTGACATTGGGCAAGTCACTATATCACAGTGGGCTTCAATCTAATCAAAACTAAAAGAATTTTTTAAATAATAACTTTCTTCTATGAAATTCCATAATTTATTTTTCTTTGTTTTACATTCCTGCTTTTGTTTTATTCGTGGAAGGAGAGGATATGTTAATTACATGTATCAATGATATCCCAAGTTGGGAAGATAAATTAATATTTTTATTGTGTGCAAAAATTGTAAATTCCATCAATGCTACTAAATTTTGACTGTTGTAAATGTGAGCCTTTCTTCTTACCTTTTTTTACTCTCCTCTGGCCCAGGAAACCCCAACTGAAAAAGCTTATTTGAATTATTTTTAAGACAAAAGATTATAGTATCTGAGTGTTGGTGTAAGTCTTTCTAATAAAAGTAAATTCATTTGAATCTGCTAGTCAGCTTTAAAGTATTACCTTCCTCTCACTTAAGTTATTTATTTTTCTAGATAAGTAACCCCCAAATTAAGTTTTTGTAAAATTGGTTATGTAGGATCGCATATATTAGAATACTGTTTAAATCGGCAACCCTGGACCAATAACATTTTTGATATGTTCTTCCCAGGGAAGCTTTCAAAAACCTGTATATGTTTATTATATATACTTATCCTGAAGAATAATTTATAATTTATTTCATTACACTATCAATAGGAAAATTAGATGACCTTTTCTGGATTAGAATACTAGCCTAGGTCCTTCTCAAACTTTTTGTTTGCCACAGTATGACTGTTTGGCCACAAGAGGCCTAACTTTCAGCCTGTCCCAGCCTTCCACATGGTTTCCTCACTAAGCTTAGTCATTTCTAGTTTTTTATTTAAAATGAGAGACATAAGACTCTTCCTTTCTCTTGAACTCTTAGAGGCCACTGTTGGATTATTAATTGGCCTAATTTCAATATTGTTATATCTCAGGAAATAGGATGCCCGAGAAGGAGAGAAATGGGGAGAGGCCAGTTAGTGGAGCAGTCGGAACACATGCAACATTTATTGATTAAGTTCAACCTTTTATATGGGTGTGGTTCATGATGCCCCTCCAAATAACAATAGTAATATCAAAGATCACAGATTACCATAACAGATATAATAACAGTGGCAAAATTTGAAATATTGCAAGAACCACTAAAATGTGACAGACACAAAAAATGAGCGCATATTGTTGGAAAAATGACATCAGTATACTTGCTCAACTTTGTGTTGCCACAGTCCTTCAATTTGTAAGAAATGCAGTATCTGTGAAGCACAATTATGGCATTAGGTTGTATTCCTGCTTATTTGATTTTCATTACTTTAATGTTTCAAAAATACATTGGATTCTGATTTTGGTTTTTCTGCTCACACAGCAAAGATTCTAGAAACGTAGACATTATGGTTGATGAATGTCAGTTAGCAGCACTGATCCCAAAACCTCCATACTTATTAGTGCCTCCTCTGAATCTAAGTGTTCATCAAGAAGACACAATACTGAAGCCCTGGATGAATGGTACTATTTGTTTTCTTAATAAAATCCTGTTGGCTTTTGGTAGTACAGAAACTATGTAGGAGTTTTTGGGGGTTTTTTTCACCAAGAAAACAAAATATTAAAAAGAAAAACTGAAGCAAATGTAGAATTTGTTAAAATTAGAAGGTTGATATGCCTTTTTTTAGTACTTTTGATGGAACAAATTCTGAAATATCTGTTTATGTGATAGTGGTAGTACAAGTAAATTACAGGTTATACCTAAAATATTTATATTTTATGGAATGTATTTGCATATGTGTTTTAGAATTTGTGTCAGTTTTTTGATAATTTGTAATACTTTGAGCAAAATAAGCTACATTGAAGAATAAGCTCGGAATCTATAAAAGGGACCTCAAAAAACCCAGAATTATCTTTTGGAAGGCAGGCCCTTTTTAGTATACAGGCTTTCCCCACAAGATAAGTGTTCTAAAATCCCTCAGCATCAGTGTACCAGCTAACATTATTGTGAAAGGCTGCATTCAGCTTCAGTGAATTTTTTTCCCCCACATTCTTTCAACACATTTGCCATTTTTTGCCATTTGGATGATTTAGGGACATGCCTGACCATACTATGCTAAGTGTTCAGTTTTTGACCAAACATGGCATAATACCTTGCCCCACCATTCCTATTCACCTGATCTCACCCCAGCGACTTTTTTTTGTTTCCCCAGATGAAAAGGAGTCCCTTTTCAAAGGGAAACTTTTTGCCCATGTAAAAGAGGTGAAACAAAAAACGGCAGATGCACTGAAAAGCATCAGAATTGACAAGTTCAAAAACTGTTTTGAACAGTGGAAAAAACATCTTGATAGGCATATTGTATCAAACAGAGAGTACTTTGAAGGTGACTGAAATTTAAACATGAAAGAATAAATATGCAATTTTTTAATCAGTAAATTCCGGTTTGGGGGGATCTCTCCCATACAGTATTACTTTGTGTAGAACACACCTGACCCTTCTGTACCTTTTCTTTTTTTTTTTTTTTTTTTGAGTTGGAGTCTCACTCTGTCGCCCAGACTGGAGTGCAGTGGCCGCTCCTGGCCACCGCAACCTCGGCCTGCTGGGCTCGGTGATCCTTCCGCCTCAGCCTTCCAAGTAGCTGGAACTACAGGCGTGCGCTACCACGCCCGGCTAATTTTTTCATTTATTGTAGAGATGAGGTCTCACCTGCCCAGGCGGGTCTCGAACCCGCGGGCTCAGGCAATCCACTCACCTCAGCCTCCCAAAGGCGCGGGATTACAGGCTGAGCCACCGAGCCCAGCTTCTGTACCTTTTCAATATGGACTTCATGCTACCTAGTGTTATGTAGCAGAAAACCCACAATGGTCATGTCTTTTTATCTTAAAAAGCTTTACAGTTTTCATAATGCAAATTACTGCAAAGCTATGCAGCAAAAACTTCAGCTTGTTTTAGATTATATCTGAATGCTGCCAAAGTAAAAAATAAATGATTTAAAATTAAAAATACTTTTATTTTTATTTGTTATTTTATCTTTAGAAAAGAACATTTTAAAATGCCCTAGTTCTCATTTTAAAAGACCAACGTTAAGGAATATGATGCCTGGTATATTAGTCTGCCTGGGCTGCCATAACAAAACACCACAGATTGAATGGCTTAAATAACAGAAATTTATTTTACACAGTGCTGGAAGTTCAAGATTAAGGTTCTGGCAGGGTTCAGTTTCTGATGAGGGTTCTCTGACTTGCTGGTAGCCACCTTTTTGCTGAGTCCTCACATAGCTTTTCTTTGGTGTGTACAGGGAGAGAGAGTGAGATCTTTGGTGCCTATTCTTATAAGGACACCCAGTTCCATTGAATCAGGGCCCCACCCTTATGACTTCATTTAACTTTAATTACTTCTATAAAAGCCGTATCTCCAAACATAGTCACAATGGTGGTTAAAGCTTCAACATGTAAATTTGGAGGAGATATGATTCAGTCGATAGCACCTGGATTTGTCACTAGTTTTCTTCCATTAGAAATGTTTATTGTGCAAAATATTTGTCTGTTTAGCCTAAAGACATATATGAATGTAGTGCTCAATGCCACTATGTGAGACTTTTAAGAAAGTTGTCTACAGCTTATTGTGAGTTTAAAATTTTAAATTCAGGTCTAGAAATACTTAAGAGTACCTAAGATGTAAATCATTCTATATTTCACAGGAACACACATGGCAACACAGTCTGTGAATTGAACATGAATATTCCAAAGTGAAATTTTAAAGCAGATAGTAGTGATCATTCATTTCATTGTTATGAAGGGAATAAGTTGTAACATATTGGTGGGTAATATCATTCTGAATCATTTCTAGATCTCAGAATTCCAGGAAAACATTCTGTCCTAAAGCTGCAGAATCCTGAAACTTGTGAAATATTTAAGAGGGAAAAAAATGTGGGGGTAAGTCCTCTGTTTAAGAAAAAATAATCTTATAAGACCCATACTTTGGAATCTGCTGATTGTATTTTCCCCATCATCATTTTTTAAAGCAGTTCCAGACATCATATGGACTTTGAATAGAGGTTGGTGTTAGAAGGCAGAAAATAAGTAGTGAGTCAGAGGATATTCACAAACAACATAAGAGATTGAAAGCAGCAGAGGAGGAACATGCAAAACAGAAACTACAAGATGAATAGTTTCCTGTGATGAAAAAGAAAGCTGCTGATATAAAGATCTTTATGGGGAAAGTTTGTTGCAAAAAACTTTAACTCTGTCATTTACCTGTTTCTATTTATCAGAAAACTAAGGAAAATTTTGGTTCTAATAAGTGTATCTGTAATATGATGCATATTATCATAACATTAACTTTTTGCAAAAGTAGAGGCAGGTGCATGAAAAGGAGGAAATGTATAAACTTTTCAAAACATGTAAAGCAATGTGGGGGCATGAAGTCTATGGGATATCTCTGTACCTTCCTCTCAATTTTGCTGTGAACTTAACTATTCTGAAAACAAAGTCTTAAAGGGAAGTAAACAGAATAATCTTGATGGACTATTTTATGCTAAGAAATTGAGAAAATTCACAGACAAATTACTCTAAAATTATTTTTCATTATTTTTAAAAATATTAATTGAAGTTTTATTTTTTTCTTATCAGACTAGCAAACATTTTAATCTTGATATTGTTGGGGTATGTAATATTTCTGTTGCTTCAAATGCTTTCTTACTTGATTTTAGTAAGTTTTTTACAGTTAACACATAAAAGGAATTTTTCTAATTTTCTAGGTGTTCCAAAAGCCCTTAGGGTTGATGATACCCCATAGATACTGCAAATTTCATTTTAATACATTACGAGGCTGTGAGCGATCACCATGCAAGTTTGCTCATGTTCCTGAGCAAGGGGATGAAAAGGTAAAACATAAAGTCTTTGAAGTAGAGATTGTTTATAATAACTATCTCAGTCGTACTTTTTAATTTAGATTTTCTTTGACTCCTAATAGCATAGATGAGCTTTGCCTGTTTATATGCTTTGTATAAATGGAATCATACCATGTGTATTCTTTTGTGTCTGATTGAGATTTATCTATATTTTTACTAATCGTAGTTTTTTCATTGTTGTTTAATATTGTACAATAATTAACATTCCATCTTGTGAGTATATAGAAATTAATTTTGTGGATAAATATTAGTGTTGATGGGTATTTGGGTGGCTTTCATATTTGGATATTACAATTGTGTTGCTGTCAGTATTCTTCTACATGCCTTTTGGTGAACATATGTAGACATTGTGATAGGTTATAAAGCTGGAATTTCTGGGTCATAGGGTCTGCATATATTCAACCTTAGTAGGTTCTGCCAAACAGGTTTCCAAAGTGCTTTTATCAAATTACATTTTCACCATCAGTGTCTGAGAGTTCTGGTTGCTTCACATCCTCACCAGTTCTTGATATTGTCAGTCTTTTAAATGTAGCCATTCTGGCCAGGCACCATGCCTCACATCTGTAATTCTAGCACTTTGGGAGGCCAAAACGGGAAGATTGCTTGAGTCCAGGAGTTTGAGGCCAGCCTAGGCAACATAACAAGACCTCGTCTCTACAAAAAATCAAAAAATTAGGCAGGCATGGTGGCATGTGCCTGTAGTCTCAGATAGTAGAGAGACTAAAGCAGGAGGATTACCTGAGCCCAGAAGGTAGAGATTGCAGTGAACTGTGATCATATCACTACACTTCAACCTGGATGATAGATTGAGACTCCAACTCAAAAAAAAAAATTTTAGCCATTCTGGTGGGTGGGTAGTGATGTTTTCCCTGATGATTGATGAAGTTGAGCATTTTTCAAATTGTTTATTACACTCTTGAATATGCTTTTTTTGAAAATGTATAAATATTTTAACTAAATTCTATGGGATTATTTTTCTTACCAGTCTATAAGTATTCATTGTATAATCTTGATACAGGTTCTTTGTTGAATATGCATATTAATATAATTATATTTTACTACTTTACAAGTTGCCTTTTCACCCTCTTTTTTTGTTTTGATTTATCTTTTAATTTTTATTTTTTAAGTTATTTATTTATTTATTTATTTTTATTTTTTCTTTGAGTTGAAGTCTCACTCTGTCACCCAGACTGGAGTGCAGTGGCCGCTCCCGGCCACCACAGCCTCGACCTGCTGGGCTCCGGCAATCCTTCCACCTCAGCCTTCCAAGTAACTGGAATTACAGGCATGCGCTACCACGCCCGGCTGATTTTTTGATTTATTGTAGAGATGAGGTCTCGCTGCCCAGGCGGGTCTCGAACCCGCGGGCTCAGGCAATCCACTCACCTCAGCCTCCCAAAGGCGCAGGATTCCAGGCTGAGCCACCAAGCCCGGCTTATTTTTTAAGTTATAAACTGATATATTATAGTTGTATATACTTATGGGGTACAAAATAATGTTCTAATTTATGCTACAGTGTGGAATAATTAAATCAAAATAATTAACATATCTATCACCTCAGATACTTATATACTTTGTGGTGAGAACATATGAAATGTACTCTTAGTTATTAAGAAATATACATTATTATTTGCCATATTTGCCACACTATACAATATATTGTAAAGAGAAAAATGATTCTTGCTATCAGATTGAGGCTTTTTACCCTTTGATTAACATCTCCCCATTCCCTTGACCCCAACTCCTACTACCAGCCTTTGGTAACCACTATTCTTCTACTCTGCTTATTTTCAGTTAGATTGTTTAGATTCTGTATATAAGTGAGAATATATAGCATCTATCTTTCTGTGCCTGTCTTATTTCACTTAGCATAATGTTTTTCAATCTCTCCATGATGTCACTGACAAATTTATTTTTTTAGGGCTGAATAATATTTCATTGTGTATGTGTTCCACATTTTCTTTATCCATTCGTCTGTCGAAGGACACTTTAGTTAAGTCCATCTCTTTGCTATTGTGACTAGTGCTGTAGTAAATATGCAAGACCTCAGCAGTGGCAGCAGTCAGCTGAGCATGCCTATCTTTGGGGCCAAGGGCAAGGTATGCTGGCACCAGTGTTAGCAGGTCCAGGCAGGCTGATTCTCGAGCCTCCAGTCAGTTGCTCAGGTCCTGGGAATGGCAGCGGTGGTCCAGGCAGGTGGGCAGATTCTCAAGCCTCTGGGCAGCAGATGTGGCATGAGTGATAACAATAGCAATAGTGGGACAACCCTCTGGGACCCAAGTGGTCTGCGTTGGTGTTAGTGGTAGCTGCAACTGGCTGGGCGGGCCAATCCCCAGGCTAGCAAGTGGTCCTTGTGGTGGGTGCCATCTGTGGTGGCAGTGGCAGTTTGAGTGGGCTCGACCTCAGACCCCAGGAAGAGTGCTGAGGTGCCAAAAATGGTGACTGGATTGGTTGATCCCCAGACTCCTAGATGTTTTGAGGGGGCAGCAGTGGGGCCAGGCTGCACCTGGTTCAGACAGGTGCTGGCTTGGTAGGCAGAGGCAGGGTGATCCTCAGGTTCCTGACAAAATCCTTAGATAGGAGCAGCAGTGACTGTGCTGCAGCCCCGCTTCTGGGGAGGGCAGGGTTGCTTTCAGTGGAAATAGCTGTAGACAAGTAGCTGCGGGAGTACATGCTTTGCCTTGGCCCATAGCAGCCCACAGCAGTGATAGTTGTAAACAGTGGAATTTGTCCTTTTGAGGTGTGTGAAAATGCACAGCCACCCCTCTGCTTTGGGGGGACATGGTCACTGTTAGTTGCTCCCACTGAGCTACAGGCAGAGAATGTCATTGAGGCTGTAGGAATGTGACTGTTATGCCACGTGGCAAAACAGTCTGTGGGGGCTGGGCTTTCAAAATGGCATCATGTTGCAGTTCCTTAGGACTGGGAGGGTGCACTATGAGTCTTGATGTGATCTTCCTCTCTGGAGCAATGCCATGAAGCATAGTCCCTGGGCAACTCCTTATGCTAGTCTTAGGGCCCATAAGGGCCAAGGGCCTCTCCCATGGCTAGGGTCCTAGAAGTCCAGTCCATAGCAGGAATGTAGACCTCTGAGTGGCTCTCACATACCCTATCCCCAAATTAAGGAGTCTCTCCAGCTCCACTGGTAAACTTTAACTCCAATGTGATTCTTTATCTGTGTTAGACAGATTAAGCACATGCATTTTCTTCCACTTCCTAACAAAATTAATGAAATGCATTAATGCATTGGGCTCACTATGCTACTCTTCTCCACTGAAATAAATGGCTAGTCCATGGCTGCTGCATTTGATCCTCATTGTGATGCTGTAGTGGTTATAAACCCCTTTTAACCCGGTTAAAATTGTCTTTTGAGAAACAGAATTTCTTAATTTTTATATAGTCCAGTTTGTCAATTGTTTTCTTTTGTAATGTTAACTTTTTGCATCCTGTTCAAGATATCTTTGCCAAGTGATGGGTGCAGTGGCTCATGCCACTTTGGGGGATGGAGGCAGTAGGATTGCTTGAACCCAGGAGTTCGAGACCATCCTGAGCAACATAGTGAGATCTTGTGTCTACAAAAACTCAAAAAATTAGCTGGGTATTGTGGCACATGTATAGTTCCCTAATCAGGAATCTGATGACAGAGGATCGCTTGAACCCAGGAGTTCAAGGCTGGGGTGAGCCATGATCGTGCCACTGCACTCTAACCTGGGTAACAGAGTGGAACCCTGGCTCAGAAAAAAAAAGAAAAAGAGATATCTTTGTCAAGATCATGAAGATGTTCTTCTATATTTTCCTTTAGAAGTTTGTTTTACCTTTTACATTCAGAACTCTAATCCAGCTAGAATTTATTTTTGTTTTATGATGTGAGAAGAGGGTCAAGATACATTTTATTCCCATGTGTATCCTCAGGTGACCCAGCATCATTTATGAAAAAGGCCATCTTTTCCCTCACTGCACTGCAGTTTTATTATGTCATAAATTAGCTGACTGTTTATGAATGGTTCTATTTCTGGGCTTGCTGTCCTAATATGTTGGTCAGTGTGTTTATCCTTGCACCAAGAGATGATTATTTAAAAAATAAACTAAATAAGGTTTATGTGATGAATTCAATAAGTACTTCAAATCTGTGAGTTAACTACATATCAACTTCATTCTAATGCTTTAAGTTCATTTTTAAAATTTGAAATAAGCAAAAAGATAGGCTTGAAATTTATATAGTTTGTAATACAAAAAGGTAATTTACATTTCTGATGATTTTTGCAGGTTTGCATGGATGTGTTTAAGAAATATATAAGTATCAATGAGCTATGTTTACTACAACGTGCAGGTATAAAATAATGGAATGATTAGTATAAATGTATTAACATGGATATTTTAAACAATGTGCTGTTGTCTGAAAATAGTTTAAAGGTAAATTCATTGTTTTGTAAGTTTGAAAACTGAATGCTTTACCTAAGAGTGGCTTTTATTGACCTTATACGGGATTGAAAATAAATGTAGTATTTTGGTTAATAAAAAGATGGTAATCCAACCAGGCATGGTGACTCATGCCTGTAATCCCAGCACTTTGGGAGGTAGAGGTGAGAGAAGTGCCTGAGCCCAGGAGTTCAAGACCAACCTGGGCAGCTTGGCAAGACCTCATCTCTATAGTAAATAAAAAATTAGCTGGATGTGGTGGTGCATGCCTGAAGTTCCAGCTACTTGGAAAACCCAGGTGGCAGGCTCGCCTGAGCCCAGCAGGTCAAGGCTGCAGTGGCCATGAGCGTGCCACTGCACTCCAGCCTGGACAACACAGTGAGACTCCAACTCAAAAAAAAAAAAAAAAAAAAAAAAGATAATCCACTTAACACTGTAATTCCCTTATGTACTAATATTTTCATGACTTAGAAAAAAGGATATGTTAATTAGCCTTTACATCTGTCTGAAAGAATGTTTCAGATGCTGAATCTTTCCTGCTTCCTTTTCCTTCTCTTTTTATACTTACTTCTTATAGCCAGCGTACCATCCATAGTGAGTTCTGTGCAGTTTCCTAAACATGCCAGGTTTTGTTTTGTTGGTGATATCCTGTCCCTAAGTATTAGAGGAACCATCTAAGGGAACTGCTAGTCTGTACTTAATCTAACTATATAACAAGAAAGAAGTAGTTACGGCAGAAGTAATAGGAGCATGTATGGAAATGCGCTTGTGACCTGAGAGATTGTGATAGCCAGTGTTGTCAATTCATAATGCTCCTTCACCAGTGACTTACCAGACTCAGGAACTTTTATTCCTTTCTTTGATTAGGAGTGCATCATTCTAATGAATTAGTAACCACTAGATCTTCCTCTCCAGATGTTTCTAATTCTCATACTAACCTCAAATCTATTTTCTGGCTCTATGAATTTGTCTATTCTAGGTTCATCATATAAAATAGACTCATACACCGTTTGTCCTTTTGTGCCTGCCTTATTTCACTCAGCATAATGTCCTCAAGGTTCATCTATATTGTAATGTGTCAGAATTTCCTTCCTTTTTAAGGCTAAGTAATATTCTGTCGTCAGAGTTTCCTTCCTTTTTAAGGTTGTGTAATATTCCATGATATGTATATGCAATATTTTGTCAATCTGTTCATTTGATGATGGTTATTTGGGTTGTTTCTACCTTTAGATATTGTAAGTAATGTTGCCATTAGCATTGATGAATAGATATCTGTTTGAGTTCCTGCTTTCCATTCTTTTGGGTATATACCCAGGAGTAAAACCATGTATCCTGTTTTATCTGTCTTACATTTGAATTTCCACATAAAATTCCTTTTCCAGAAAGTTTATGACTAAAAACATCTGAAAACTACCACTATTTAGCATATATCAAATGAATGAGTATGGCATATTAGCAATACAGTAGAAAAAAGTAAATTTCTTTAACTCAGATTTTTAGGAAGGTGATCATTTCTGTGGTTTTAATCAAAGGAAATACAAAAAATATAAATTTGATCATATAAATTGAAACTGCAAAAGCTGTTATCTTTATTTTATATTTACTGTTGGTAATGTACAAAAATATCCCAATTTATAAGAATAGTAAGAGTTCAATTAGCTACTTAGAAATGCATGACTATTGTTTCTTCTTGTGAGAATTAGAAATATATCTGGAGAGGAATATCCAGTGGTTACTGGTTCACTAGAATGATGCACTCCTAATCAAAGAAAGGAGTAAAAGTACCTGATTTTGGTAAGTCACTGGTGAATTGACAAAACCTTTTTAAAAAGCAGTGTAGCTAGCAGTTTACATTAAAAAGTATTAAAATGTTCAAACTGTTTCTACCCAACAGATTAACCAGAGAGGATCATCATTTTAAAAGGAGAAAATATATTAAAAATTACTCAATGACAAAAAGAGAGTTGCATGTCAGTTAGTGAGCTATTTACATGCTGACTAACATAGATTATTTTCAACTACTCCTTTTTTAAAGGCCTGCAGTTGCAGTTTTATTAACAAGTTATAGTAGCAGACACTGAATTTCTCATGTTATCAGTTTATCTGCTTCTATATGGGCAATTGTGTATATACTACAGAAAGAATAGCAGGAAGAATTTATCTGTATGTCCCCAGCAAAAACAATTGTAGTATATAAAGAAGCTTTACAACAAAGGTGAACACTATTACACTATATGATTAAGGTGGTTAAAAATTATCATAACTTCAACATTAATTTTTCAATTGTACTACTAAACTTTATCAGTAACCACTGGCTTTCCCAAACAACACTAGGTAATCCAGCTAGTAATAAGTATTTCTACTAGAAATAATTAACACAAAATAAAACTAAAAGTAATTTTTTATTAAGACTGTTTTAGCCAAGGTGTACAGATTTTGACCTGGGGAAAAAAATTATTAATGAAGTGATACCAATTTATATAATTTTAGTAAGATGAATGGGGAAAATTGGAAATGATATGTTATGCAGAAAATAGATTAAGGACTTGGATCAGCATAAAGAAGGTACTTTCTCGAAAACTAAACAGTATTATAATTTTTTGTAGAATGTCATAATCACAAACTGGAATCACAAACATCCCCAGGGTCAACATGGTAGGATTGCAACAAGAAAGAGCGTGTGTCAAAATAGTCCGCATCTATTACCAAAGTATACAATTTCACATGTATTTCAAGGCCACTGCCTCAAAGACTGGGTGCATAACTGATGAATTGACTCCTTAGGAGTTCATACTGAGACCATGATGTATTTGGTAGTTTAGACCTTTGTGGGTAACATGAGTTACTCCCATGCTGAACATACTTGGTTGACTTCAAGTATTATTGTTATTTTGACTTTTGCTTTAGTTTTCATCAAATATTTCTAATACTGGAACTGTATCTTACAAGAACTTATATTGAATTTATACTGTTTTATCTTTAAATATAGAAAAATTGTCTAACTTAAGAAAAATGTATGTCTCAGAAGCAGAAGATGACTTTAATATATATTTTTTTAATTTTCAGTGAACATATTTTTGGAATACTACAGAAAGTTTCCCCCAGGTTTGCACTTTGATTTACAAGTGCTAAATAACCTTCTAAATTCTTTACTCAAACATTGTTTATTGAAAGAAGTATTTCAGGTATTGAACCTCAGCATAATGGTTAAAATACTGGTAAGTAATCTGGAAAACATATTATTTTAATATTTTCAGTTAACTTCTCTTATATTTTTTGCTTGAATTTAGCAGTTAAGTTTCTGTATTTGTTGAATACTTCCTAGAGAACACTTGTGTTTTCCAGCAAAAAACAAATTTGAGAAACGTTAAGGTGTACTAAAAGGAGACATGAAAATGAGTGTAATTCTTTTGTTTTATCCAGCCTTCTCTGAAAATACTGTTAAACATATTCGAGCATGTAGCAACTATGAAATTAAGGAATGCTGTGCCTGCTTTAATTGATATCTTTTACAAGGTAGGATTTTATCTCCTTTATTCTCTGATAGTGAATAACTAAGAAAATATTTTTTTCTACTTAACACCCTTGAGTTGTCTTTTATTCACATTCTGGATGCCAGGTAATTCTATTTCCAGAGATAACCCGATTTTCTCCTAAAATAGAGTTTATAAGCAGACTCCAGTGGCTCACAAACGTTCCCCTTTAATAGTTTCAAGCACTCCAGATGACTGCTTTAAAGATGACTAAAGAAAATTTTCCTTCTCCAAAGGAATTGAGGTTGTTTGCAATAAAAATAAACAAATCAATATGTAAATAGAAAATTATGGTCAAAACAAAGAGAATAGAGAGAAACATGGTAGCTAGAATTAGTTTGTTGTTGTTGTTGTTTTGAGTTGGAGTCTCACTCTGTCGCCCAAACTGGAGTGCAGTGGCCACTCCCAGCCACCACAGCCTCGACCTGCTGGGCTCCAGTGATCCTTCCGCCTCATCTTCCAGGTAGCTGGTACTACAGGCATGCGTTCCCACACCCGGCTAATTTTTTTGATTTATTATAGAGATGAGATCTTACCAAGTTGCCCAGGCGGGTCTCGAACCCGCAGGTTCAGGCAATTCACTCACCTTGGCCTCCCAAAGCGCGGGATTACAGGCTGAGCCACTGAGCCTGGCCTAGCATTAGTTTTAAATTTAGCACTAAATAAAAAGAAATAATGTTCATAACTCAATAAAAATATATAAAATTTTAAACTTTTGTTGACTACTTCCTTAGTATTTGATATTACTCAACTAGTCTCTTCAGAATAGGCCTAAGAGTAGGAAAAAAAATCCCAATTTTCTTTTAGAAGCAACCCTGGAACCACTCTAGCAGATTAATGAATATTTGAGTGAATACCTCTAGTTTCACATTATAAAACTTGACAGAATTACTTGCCTAGAAAATTTTTTAATCAAAAGTAACTGATCAGCTCTAATCGTTTTAGAAAACCTTGGTAATAATCCCATAGATTGTCTAATACTGAATAACTTGGCATTCTGCAAAATGTATCTCTGTTGCTGTCCAAATAAAATTACCCTGAATGGGGAATATCTAGCAAAAACAGTAATTTTCATTTCTGCATAGTTAATATGGAACCACCATTTCTAGTTGTTTAATACTAATACCAATTTTTCTGTCGAGACTATCTCAGGGTTCAGTGATGATAAAACCACATTACCATCATGGAGGAAGATACTTTTCTTCCTTCTTATTCTAGCAGTATACCATATCCCCATTTAATTAACATAAATATCATTCAGAAAGGATAATTAACATCTTTTTTGTGCTGCTTTAGGTTGTTATTTAGTCTGTCAAAAAACAATTTATATTTACATTGGTTCTTGAGCAGTGAACAGTGTTAAAGGGCAGATTTTTTTTTTTTAAGTATGTCAGTGACCAGATAACTAATTGGTTCTCTTGCAGGTTTGATTATAGTTGACCCTATCCATTTAGTCAAAAGTCACTGCATGATCAGTGAATGCATACAGACCAGCAGTGATCCTTTCAAATATTATTGAGCATACCACTAAAAAAAATCATGCAACTTCATAAAGTTTGGAAAACTCTTTGTTAAGGTAGTGGATTGATAAACTTATAAGAGAAGCTGTTTTCCTTTTTCAAAATAAAATTGAGCATGCTTTTCTTTCAGAAGAACTGATAGAGTTTAAGCAATGGTGCTTAATGTTTACAACATGCTTTGAACATTTTTATAGTTTCTCAGCAAAACTATTTAGAGTTTAAGATGTTTGATCATATGGCATATAGTAGAGGTCTAGGACCTATTTAAAAGGGGTCTATTGTCATGAAATTTGATATAATTTATCTGAGAGTCCAAAGACAAGGAAAATTCCTCAGCAGCTTACTATTATCCCTAACTAAAAGAAATTCTGCCTCAAGTTACCCATCAAGAATAAGTTCTTTTTTTTTTTTTAACCTTTAAAAATATAATTTATTTTATGAGTTTACATAATTTAATTTTTTTGTTGTTTTTTATTTTAAAGATGTGGGATACAATTCAGGGTTAGGTATACAAATGTTCATTTATGCAGGTATCCTTGTTGATGAAGAGTAAGTTCTAGCAACCAAATTACAGCATCTCACATAGAGATTTATTATACCTTGGAAGAGGTAGCTTCTGCTTCATTTTCTCCTGCTATTTTTTGTCTTACTCCTTTCAAATCTCTACTGGGGAGGTAAAGTTATACACTCTCTCAAGCATTTCCAAGTAATTACTGAAAGGGGGAAATTTTCTGAAAACCAGAATAGAACCATAGGAGATTCTCAGCAAAAATGTTGCTCAAAAAATATCAAGCACCACTCAACTGAGTCATTCTTAACACTTTAAATCCCTCACCCAGGGAAGCATTAGAGAACCTACTCATAACACCTTTGGGCAGAGGTCAACAGGATCATTTGAACTGAGGCAACTAGTAAGAATGTACTTTCCCGCTTTCCCAGGGTAATGTCATATGGAAGAACTTCAGAGAAGGCCTGCCTCTCATTCATTCATTCTCACATTAGAAGCATCCAGGTACTCCCCAGTTGACTCTCTTAGAGCTGAGGCTCATAAAGAAGAAAGGAAATGAGTCAACTGTGAATTAAGGAGAATTGAATTGATTTTTGGAAAAAGTTAAATACTGTGTTACATATAGGCAGTCTACCTGTATTACTAATTTAACAAAGAATCCCTGATTTCTTTTCTGGTCATGGTCCTGTGTGAGGCACAGGAGCAATACTTCTCAGGAAGTTTGCAGTAAGGGATAAGGTATGAACACCAGTTCTACACCAAAAGATAGACTGAGCACCAAATAAAGTACAAGTAATAAAGTGGTTGAGATTACTTGGAGAACAGAAAGAACGTCCACATTTTGAATTCAAAATTATTATTTTTGCTTTAAATTCCTAAAGTAGGATATCTTTTGGGGGGTTCTCAAACATTTGAAAGAAATATGCTTCAAATTTTTTTAATGAGTTTTAATTCCATTTGTCTCTATGTTTCGCTTCTTCCATCAGTCTTTTAGTTGTTTCATACACATTGGCTTCTCAACTCTTTCACATTTTTATAAGAATGACTGCTCCTTTTTTTCTCTTCTACAGCTTGTTAAAGCTGGGATGGTGCTTGACCCAGAACACCTTAATTATATTGTTAAGCTCTTATGCCAAGTACAGGCATCCAAACAACAAGTAACTGCAGTTCTGGAAATGAAATCCAGGTGAGAGAAATCATTGTAATTAAGGCTAAAGTATATGTATTTTGGTGAGGGTTTATGAAGGGTGAAGGCAAAGCACTTATAACTGTTCGCATGCCCAAACATTTAGATAGTTGCCCAACTCCTAATCCCTTTGCCATCTCTTGGCTTTGTTCTGTCTTGGTCAAGCTGCCTCTAGCCAGCCTCATATCTTTCTCATTACTCATTTCCTCTCAATGTCTGACTCATTAAGTATATGAGGAGTCTGTTTTATCTTATTTCACCATTTCATTCCACTTAATATACTCATGTATATACACAAAGTATCTTAATTATTTTTTCTCTTTCACTCACTTCTTGGTGTTAGCTTAATAAAATACCTTATTGCCTCTCCTTTATTTACTTCTTCTATTCAGCTAATGACCCTCCAAAGCCTTAAAAAAAGCCTTTGAACTGTAAATTATAATCCACTTGTATTGAGAAAAAGGGAAGTCATGACTTAAAAAGAAATTTTAAGCCGGACTCGGTGGCTCAGCCTGTAATCCCACGCCTTGGGAGGCTGAGGTGAGTG